AAGCATCTGGTTGCCACTTCCTGTAAAAGAATTTAATGCTTTTGGTTTCGTGCAAGACAGAACATCTTACAGTGCAAAATGGGTGTGATGCTAGCATCAGTATTGGTTTTTTAGGTTAAAATATGTGGCTCTAGCAAATGTTTAAAAAACAAATCTCAATTTGGATTTATAATTTCAGCATCTGAAAATCAGATTTATAGCTATGAGTAAGGGCAAAAGGTCAAAATTCTGCCAACAGCCCTACATTTCAGGGAATGTATTTACCAGTACTATTTTGAAAACAAGCATCATTTTCTTCTAGTCTAATGGATGGGATCCCAATGACATGTTTCGTTACAATGAAGAAAATTATGGTGTAGTGTCTACTTATGACAGCAGTTTATCTTCTTATACGTAAGTTTCAACATATTTTTGTTGTTAGATTTGTCTAATCTTCTCCATCGTTCACCTAAATTTATGTTGTAAAGATGCAGAATGTTTACCTGTTCAGAGTGGTAGATCCCAACGATCCTTTACCAAGCAGATAAATGAATTCCTTTTTCCCAAACTACCCATTTCTGGTCAAATGAAATAATCTCCATACGTTTCCCCTTAAGTGGGAACAATTCATTTATAACATAAGCTTTTTTTATATATACTTTTTTTTTTTTTTTTTTAAACAGAAATTCTTTATGAATAAGACTGAAAGAATGAAACATTTTATATATGGTAACTTCTAAAGAAAATGCTTAAATCTGATTCTGATGAATGAATTGAATTTCCTAGGTTAAGGGAAAAAATCTCTAAAAATCCTTTCATTGCTGATCCCTGACAGTTGTATTCCCCAGATGTTTGACATGGTTCTAGTGTTCAGAGGGTGCATGGGTGTTGCATTGTGCGCCACGAATTAACTTTAAGCAGATATTATTTACCATATTTTACAAAACCTTCTGATCTCTACTCCGCCTTGACTTTGTTTTGAAACCTGGACTCATCCCTAATAATTTTCAGACATAGACTGTTAACTAGTTGTAAAATAAATCAGTGGTGTGACTGCCGAAGACAGCAGCAGAGAAGTATGTTTCTGGTCTTTACCACTTTCTGATTCCCAAAGCATAAATCCAGTCTGAGTTGGCAAGTGCTAGAAGAAACCACTTTGTTTCCCAGTGGATTAGGGCATTTGTGCGTTGCCCTCTGCCTTAAGAACCCTCTTTTTTTTTTTTTTTTTTTTTTTTCACTCTTGCCCAAGTGGATCTAATTTGCTGGGGTTCAGGAACTGCTGTCTGAACCAAGTGGCTCTTCAGGAGATCACTTGCAGCTGTTTGCAGAAAATGTTACCAAAGGCGTGTTCTTAACTTCTTGCACTGGGCATATCTTTCTTTCAGTCATGAGTAAAGTAATGCATGCCCTATTGGACAGTGCAGACGTTAACCAGTATACTGTAGGGAAGGGTTGGACTGTCATTGGTCTACAGCGAAGCGATAGTCAAAGTGCTTACCATGTCGGCTTCAAACCAAACTCTTTTGCTCCGTTGGATTGACCAAAACTTGTGCTTCTCCTCTGGCTTCAGAATCCTTTGTACTTTGAACTTGAATTTCTGGCGTCTTCCTTCCACATGGGTAGTTATGGGAGCTAAAACTTAATGGCGACTTTAAATCTCTGGGGAAACATTGTTTCCCTATCAAGAGAAGGCAACACTGGCAGTTTCCTCTTTATTGATGCTTGCTAAGCGGCCTGGAATTACAGCTGGAGGAGCAGGGAGGAGGTATGTCTTCCTTGTATGTTCTCAGCATTATGAGCAAGTAAAGGGGAAAAAAGAAAAGTACAGCAAAAGATCCATTTTTGGCCGAGTCTGTTCCCAATTTTGAATATTTGCAGATGTGTCTCTGCAGTTGCTAAGCTTGGAGGGTTTGTTTTTTCTCTTGTTGTCCTTTGAGCAAACCTTTTCTTCAGTTCTGAACTGGTAAAGGTTGAGATGGTTTGACACCTGGCTACAGTGACTAGACATATTGTTCCTCATTTCCATTTCTTCTTTATCAGCCTCTGAAAACACTCCTTCTCTACCTACTTCTTGGTTATCATGATACAGCTGCACTGGTTCTTTCTATGAAAAATAATTGTGTTTTTTGTTGGGTTTTTTAAAGCACCTTATATCCCTACTTCCATTTGAGGGGCCTGGTTTTCATCCTGTGCTTGAATAGCCCCTAGCACAATGAAGTCTAGGTTCCTAAGCACTGCGAGAACAAAAATACCAAGAAATGTGTGGGGCAGTTTCCAGATATCAGACAACAGGAGTATGCCTTGCTCCATTGTCAAAAATGTTAGCCGTTGCCTCTGTTCTCGTGGCAGGTGAGTGCTGCGTTGTGGCACATTTTTCATTTCAGCACTGTCGCCAGTGGCTGTTGGGTGCTATATAAATTGAAGCTGGTGCTGGCAGTTCTGTTAGTCTTAGTTATGATCCAAGCTGGAAGGTGTAACTCCACTTAGCAGTTTAGAGAGTGGCAGAGGAAAGTAGAGCATGGTTTAGTGCCTGGTGTTCCAGCAACAGATTTGTAATGGCTGTGGTCCAGTGCTCTAGTCCCTGGACTAAGATTTGGGAAAAGTGAGTTATATTCTAGTTCTGCCTCTCACCTTTCCTCTGACCTTAGATGAGTCACTGTACCCACATCCCTTCCCATCCTGTTTTATCTAGTTACAGGTTGATTGGAGTGGGGGTTGTCATTCGCTGCATCTGTGCAGCACCCAGAACAGTCAGGTCCCGATCTCAGTTGGAGCCTTTAGGCCCTGTGTACTAAGAAAAATAAATGTTTCTGGCATTTTTAATGAGTTGCGTGTTATCTTTAAAGTAGCAGATGAAAGCAGGCTGGGCAGCTGCCTTCTGGAGCATTGGGGTAAAATTGGTTTGCCAAGCTGAAAACAAGGCAGAGGAAATGATCTCATACTTCTGAGAAGATGCTTCAGTTCTCAGAATAAGCAAAAACCGAGTGCTACCATACGTTGATAAAGCAACCTATTTTTTTTTTTAAAGGGCAGTAAAGTAGGTGGAAGAAAAAATTGGACTTCCTTTCTTGAAGAAAGCAGTTTTCAAATTTAAAGCTTCCTGTTCACTCCTGAACTCACTTTGCTTTTAGTCTGCTATTTCAGTGGTTGTGTTGCATTGGTGCAGCTCTTTCCTGTAGTACTTTTCACTTGGAGATTGCTGCACACTTTCAAAAGGTGTGTTGTTACCCCATGTCCGAGATGGGTACCATGGTCTTGCTCTCATGGATACCATCCTGCCACATTGCTACTGGTTATAACAGTGGTGGCTGATGTTCCCAGAATGAATGTTTTCTGAGGTGTCTGACACCATTTGAATGTCAGGAAGCCTTGGCCTCTTGTGCTCTAGGGGTCCTCTGAACAGTCTATCCACAGAACTTCAGCTCAGAAGTTAAACTAAAAGGTTTCATTGTCAAGATCTCATAAGCTAATCACTGGCACACTTCATGGTGCTGGAAGCCAGCATCCTCACCTGCTTTATGGTTAGGGATTTTGCTAGTCAGAGAAATATGCTGCAGCCCAAGCTCTGTTTTTGGGAAATACAGTTTTTGTGGGTGACCTAAATGCTTCAAATACATCTCAGATTTGGTTTTTCTCTCCCCCTCCCCTTCTTGTAGGGTGCCCTTAGAGAGGGATAATTCAGAAGAGTTTTTAAAACGGGAAGCAAGAGCAACTCAGCTTGCAGAAGAAATTGAATCAAGTGCCCAGTACAAAGCTCGGCTTGCCTTGGAAAATGATGACCGGACAGAAGAAGAAAAATATACTGCTGTCCAGAGAAACTCCAGTGAGCGAGAAGGACATGGTGTGAACACTAGGTATTTAAAGCAAAATACTACTCTGTGTATAAAGGAGGCCTACAGTTTGCTGTGGCAGTAACTTAATTCTTGGAACATGTTTGCTTCTGGGAATTGCAATTGTGGCTTAAAAAAACCAAACACCCAAACCAGAAGTTGCTTGGAGAGTAGGGAGCAAGCCATCATTAATGTGTTACCTAGTATTTTAGTGCGGGCTTTGCAGATTGCCCAGTAAAGCATCTGCTATGCCAGAGTTGCTTGTCAGAGTTCAGTGCTGAATCAGCCATGGCCCTGTAGGATCACAGCACACTGCAAGAGGGCTTGCAGTCCATAACTGGTGATTCTGGATGCATGTCAAGTCATTTATTCTGTAACTGAACCAGAAGAGCATAGCAGCATTTAGAATGTAGAATGTATCTTAATTTTGATTGGCGGTGGAGAAAGGAGGCAGATATGAGGGAAACTTATGGATTGAAATGATGTTATTTTTCAGTTGTAAAGCATTGTCCTTATCATCCAACTCTGGCTACAATAGTGAAAGACATTTGCTGTGTTTCAGGGAAAACAAGTACATTCCTCCTGGACAACGAAATAGAGATGTCCTGTCCTGGGGAAGTGGAAGGCAGAATTCGCCCAGGATGGGCCAGGCTGGCTCGGGGCCCCCCATTTCGAGATCTGGATCCCATACTTCAGACTTCAGTCCAAACTCTGGAGCAGATCAAAGAGTAGTGAATGGAGGCAAGTATCTGTGCTAAGTAAATGAGCCCTAATTGATGAGAGTTTTTGTTTTAAAATCTTGGAAATGGTGTCTGTGATCCAGTTAGGTGAAATAGAGACAAAATAGTTAGGTGAGCATGTGGCATGTTTAAAAAAGGTGTCCGTAGATGCTTCTTATTTGGTTTTGATCTATGTGACCTGATGATAAATGATGACTCAACTATGCTTATATGTAGTTGGATGCAGGAGAGAATTTTATTTGTATGCCTCCTCCTAAAACGCTTCCAAGTTTAGGTGAGCAGGCTGTGTCCATCTTTAAAGGTTAGATGAAATCTGTCATGAAGATATTGAGCACAAACTTTTGTGTTAGGATGCAAGTGAGTTGAGCTGCAGTACTAACCTTCAGCTGTCCAGCAACTGTGGCTGAAACCTGCCTCTTTCACCAGTAGCAGAAGAAATCACTCTTGCCCTTGTATGTAAGGATTCAATCCGGCTCCCAGAGAAAACAGCGTTGCATTATACCTTGGTTTTATTGTGACATAGCACAGCTTGGCTATAGCCTGCAGTGGGAAGATAAAACGGTCAGATACAGCGGGAAAGGTTTTCCAGAAATCTTCTCTCCAGATAAATATTCTTGAGCATCTTCTGCTGTGTTTCTGTATATAAATTGCACAGAATGCAGCAGTGTTTCCAGTGACAAATGAACTCAATCCCCGTTTGCTGGTTGTTCATATATCAGCACTGTTACTTAAGTAGTAAATGCAGCTTTGGCAGGGGGAAATAGAGTAACATATGTGAAGAAACAGCATATAATATTTAATTGCAATTGTCTGGGGAGAAGGCCTGGGCAGTTGCTAGCTTAAGGTAAGTGATGCTTTCTTTTTAAATACATATTTAAATATTTTGATCTGCAATACAAACTCCTGCCCAACAGTGCTGACTTTGAAATCTCCCTCTTGCAGCCATATTATTTGTTCTCCTATTAATTTACATAATGCTTAAAACAGTTATAGCAGCTGTAAGTTGGTTGTTTGGCTTTGGAAAGTCACTGTTACACCTGTTCTTCTGAAATGTTAAATGAGCCCTCTACAGATGCTTACAGGGCACAAATGTCCGACTTCAGACACTGAACACGGCTGTTTTTTGTAAAGAAGTACTTTCTTTAGTTGATACTGCTCCTCACTAAGTGTGACGTGATATATAATAGCTATATAGTCAGCTGTGTACATGGATCGCCATTCAGGATCTGTTAGTAACTATTGATGCACCTTGTCAAGAGTTATGTACCGTAAAACATGTATATAAGCAACAAGCTAACAGATTAAGCTTTAACTGTCTATTCCTCAGTAGTATTTGTAGATCCTAAACTAACCCTTTGGGGAGCTCACGTTGCATTAAATCTGACCAGTCCAGAAGAGGGGAAAGCAAGCTGGCCGGGATTGTTTTACCACTTGTGGAAAGAACCAAACGTGTCCCCAAAGGGTTAAACATGTATATGAAATCATTTTTGTCATGTTTTGCTTTTTTTCTGTTTACCTTTTCCCCCATGATTTTTCTTTAGTTTTTATACTTTCCTTCATATCATTTGTTCTGTCAGGTGTTCCCTGGCCATCGCCTTGCCCATCTCCTTCCTCTCGCCCACCTTCTCGCTACCAGTCAGGTCCCAACTCTCTTCCACCTCGGGCAGCCACCCCTACAAGGCCGCCCTCCAGGCCCCCCTCGCGGCCATCCAGGCCCCCGTCTCACCCCTCTGCTCATGGTTCTCCAGCTCCTGTCTCTACTATGCCTAAACGCATGTCTTCAGAAGGTACAATACCACGATTTGTTCATGTTTTTGTTTGTCTTTGTTTAACTCCTTTGTGAGTTTAATTACAAAATTGTTTTTCCTCTTCATTACTTAACCTATAATTTGTGTTTAACTTTAGTTTAGTTTATCAGACTGTTTCTATTAACCTTTTTTTATTTAAAGAAACTTTACAAAAACACCAATATAAAGCTGTGAAATTTCCCCAGTTGGTATGGAATAAGCTCAGCTTTGTAATGCTGCTCAGTGTCTTAACCCAGAAAACAGCAACATGGTGGACCCCAGTATATGTTAGAGGGCTTTCTCCAAAACATTTTTTTTTTCCTTTTTTTTAATCTGGATGAAATTTCAAGAGCATTATCCTAGTATTACCACAACAGTTTTACATTCATTACACTCTTTGGAGCCACTTCTGTTCAGATCATAGAACTCTATAATAAGTGCACTGTGAAATAAGGATTAAAATAAGGTATTCAGAAACAAACCTGTAGAAAATGTGCGTCTGTTTGATTTACGTTTTATGTAAGGGGAGCAGCAACACAGGTAAACCTTTAGGAGCTACCAATGCTGATTTAAAATAATATATTAAATTGCATAGCTATGCGTGGGGAAACATCTAAATTTAAGTGGTGTATGGTGTGCTCTAGTGTTGTGGTGATTGGGCACCTTCACAACATTAGACTGTGCAACATAACCTAGTAAATCAGAAGAAAGGGACCCATGTTGTATAGTGTGTGCCATGCAGGCAGTTTGGAGGGGTATCTTAACAGCTATTCTCGACTGACATTTCTGCAAAAGAGGATTATTGCCCATCACCTGAATTAGTTGCTGATAAGGTGTGACCTGCATGATAGAATTTCAAGATCACTTCTGCCAAGTAAGGAGATAGTGATTGACATACCTGTAGGACTGACTCTGCTTTTTGCCCATTGTTACTAGCCTTCTTGAATGACAGAGCTTGAGAATCCAGCCTGCTGGTTTCACTTGTTAGCAGTTTTAAGTCAGTCATCAGGTTTGAAGTGGGGTGTTTCTTATTGTAATGCACACATTTTAAAAAAAACATACATTTTAGAAAACCTCTCTTCAGGGAAATGTGGTTCCAGTTTGCCTGTAGATAGTTTGGATTAAAATGTAATAGTCTTAAAATTGGTGGGTAAAGTTCGGAGTGCCTCTTTTCAAGCTGTTAAGTCTCCTGCTAGACTTAATTGATACTTCAGAATTTTATCTGAATACAGAAGGCTATAATTTTATATTTTTCTCTATTAGAGTCCACGCTTTTTAAACAGTTGAAATATTGCAGTTGATTAACACGTTCACTGGGTGCAAATTATTTTTTCTGTTCTAGTGCCAGTCTTCAAATCTGAACTTTAAGGAAAGATTGAGTGAAAATACTTCCATGTATTAATGTTGAGCATTATAAAGAACTTGCGCCAAGTTCGGTAGCTGCTTTTTATGGCAAGTTTTTGCTCAACTCTAAAGCTCCATACCTTGTTCTGAGGTGCCAGTCTCTAATTTTGGGAGCTCAAGACTCTTGAAGTCACAGACCAGGCTTGATCCTTGAGAAAACAGTAATTGGTTCAGTGGAACTTGCTGCTGGGCAGTGACCTTTCACAGGTGGATAATGCAGGCTGCATGGAGAACCCTTCACTAATCCCCCCCATGAAGGCACTGGTCAACCAGTGGAGACTTCCCTAAGGGTGCTGACCCTGTGGCGAGAGAGCAGTTCTAGCCTTGAACTTCTTAAGCCATATCCTGTGAATGCTTTATAGCTCAGAACTAGTTTTATGACTTCAGGTTCCAGCACTCCATTAGAGAAGCTAGTAGACTTACATTTTGGCTTGGGTCACAGTGGGCAAAAATGAACTGCGTACCAGGAATGAATTTCAGTTCTCTTGGCAATAGATTGGCACCCTATTTGTTAAAAGCTTCTGAAGCTGTCACTGAACTACAGCTCTGTTAACAAGGTGATGGGCATGTCAAAACTTAGGTTCATTGGACCAATACTATTTTCCTAGTTTCACTGAGCCACTGGAGCCCCCATTTGTGGCCAACACCAATTTAACTCAGTTTGTTACATTGCCTTTATAGCAGGGGGTTATGGAGATTTGAAGCTTTAAATTTGGTTGTGAATGTAGGTATGCTTAATGTAACAGACTGATATTCATAGTATGGGGATGTGTTGTTTTTTTTCCCAGGGCCACCACGGATGTCTCCAAAGGCACAACGGCACCCTCGAGGTCACAGAGTCTCTACTGGTAGGGGTACAATTTCAAGTGGCTTAGAATTTGTATCTCATAATGCACCAGGGGAAGCATCTACTGCTACAGTGGCACGAGGCGGCCCTTCAGGTGGGACGTGGTCATCAGTGGTCAGTGGGGGTAGGTATAGCTTGGCTTATTGCAGATGGCTTGCAGGGATGTTTTGGAATGTGAATGTTCAACTTCTAGACAGCTCAGTCCCTGATTAAAGAGCAGGCTTTGCTAACTCCAGGTTGCATGGATTAAAAGGAAGCAGCAAGACTTTTAACAGTGAGTTTAGCAACATGATTGTGTGCATTCCACCCTAAAGGGTGTGATGTTGCCCGAACTACAAAGAGGTGGTTCTGTCAGCTTTGCTGTTAAATGCAATGTAAAGGAAGAGGAATGCCTAGGAATTAGCTGAATTGAAGGCCTAGTCTTAGGAAAGCTATTGGAGGAAGCAAGTAACAGGTGCATGTTGAGTAAGCCCAACTGCCTGTGAACAGAAGTTATGCAACTGGAATAGTTCATTTTTATATCAGTGAGGAGCTTGGGTGAAGGAAACTTGGTGTGGTTGGGAAAGAGGAGGTTACACTTCAGGTGAAAGGTTCATAAGGGAACTTGGAATTACGGGGTTTCCTTCAGTGATCCAGGTTTCAACATGCTGCTTTGCTGTTTTTATAAATCAGGATGTCAGTGCACAGTTGGTGCCAGCAACTCCAGAATTCCTTGTCAGAAGATTTTAGTTAATAGTCTGTTAAATATTAAGCCTTCAATTTAAGCCGGTTCTTGTGACATTTGTTACCTGCTCTTGAGGCCTGTGTAATATGGAGTGTGTCTCAGTTGGCAGCAGCCAGCCTGCTCTGGAGACCCAAGGGGGAGAGTTTGGAGCTGGAACTTTAGAAAATTGAACAAAGGAGAACTTTTTCTAGGAAAGAACATGTGAATACATCATTGTTCTGTTATGTACAGCCAGCCTCTTAGACCTGCTGCCTCATGGAAAACCCGTTAAGTGTTGTACATGCTGTCACTGTCCCGGAGCGGTTTCTTCCCTTGATTTATGAACATTCAGGAGGGTCGTTACCATGCAAACTATCAGAGGAGCAGACTGTCTCCTCCTAAAAGTAAATATTCTGCATGCATTTATAACTAGGACTGGTGGGCCAGAAGAATAGCTCCAGTAGCTGGGTGTATGAATTAAATACTTCAGTTTTCCAGGAGGCGTCAGTCTCTAGAGGATTGTGCAAAGCAAGTTGATTGTCAGGTGCTTACATCTTTCAGTCATTTAAAAAAAAAAAAAAATGTTTTACATCTGTTTGTATAGAAGGCCGGCCACCTTTTTTGCTCTGCCTGAAACTAAGTGTTAATATGAGCTATTGTGGTTGGACCGATGGGGATTGCAGTTTCATTGTAGGACCACAGGGCAGTGAATATGTGTTGAGGGAATCTTTCTGCAGAAAAATCCCACTTCTTATCTGAAATGCTGCACTGTAAAGCACTAGGAAATGTACCTGCAAGGTAAACAGGTTTTCAGTTCATGTACACTGTTGTGCTGTTTTTTTAAAGCATGTTCTTTAAGCCTTATTTTATTAATATGGAGTGGTTTGGACAGCTTGATTTTTATCCATTAACTTTTTTTTTTTTTTTTAATTTATTTCTAGTTCCCAGATTATCCCCCAAGACCCACAGGCCCAGGTCACCAAGGCAGAGCAGCGGTTCCACCAGTGCAGCTTTGTCCTCTCCTCAAGCTGGAACTACTCCCACTGAATCAGTTGCGATGCCAGTTCCAGCAGCCTCTCCCACACCTGCTAGCCCTGCGTCCAACAGAGCAGTCACCCCATCCAGTGAAGGTGAATTCCCATCGTACTTTGAATGATTTATTTTCAGCCAAAGGGAAGAATAAAAATTCATGTAACCAAACCCTACACTTCTCTGCAGAAAACACAGCTTTTTCTCTCTCTTTATGTAACTTGATTTCCCTATGTATCAGTTTCCTTTTTCCTGGGAGGAACACTTACCATAGCAGAAACATTTGGACAGACTAGCAAACTTCTAATTGTTCTTTGCTGCTCATAAGACTAGATCATGGTGATGCTGAAAGTGACCTGACACAAGATTTCTGAAACAATTGAGTTTTTGACCTGCCTGCTCTCTGCTTCATAAAGAAATCCATGCATTTGCTAGAAAGTTGCTTTTGTTAGATTAGTTAAAGGTCTTGGAACACACACACACCTCCCTCGCCTCTTAATCAAAGGACTGAGGTGGTTGGATTCCAGAACAGAGGTTTTCTTTATCCACATTTTTAAAAATAATTTTCTAGATGACTCCTGAGAGTCTTCCGGTCTAGATGGAACCAGAATTTCTAATGTAAAAAAGGGGAAATCTTTCAGCCCCATATCATGTATCATAACAATTCATTTAAAAAAAAAGTAATTTTATTAACACTTGACTTGAGAGAGATTGTAGATGAAAAACAGATGATTTTTCTCTTCTGTTCCTAAAGTTTTCCCCATATATTTCCTTCTTCACAGTCCTTATATTTCTGATCAGTTTGTGTGTGAAAATAACACTGAATTGGAATTCTGTTTCCAGCTAAAGATACCAGACTTCAGGACCAGAGGCAAAATACTGCAGCAGGAAACAAGGAAAATACTAAGCCAAGTGAGACTTCACCTAGCTTTCCTAAACCTGAGAACAAAGGTTGGTATCTTTAAAACTTCGTTAATTGTTCTGGAGGAATTCCCAGAGCTGCAAGTACAGACTGCAGCCTCATCTGATGGAATCAACATTTTAATAGTTACTTTAGTGAAAGTCACAAGCCTTTGTCTTAGACTTTTGCACAGCTGTGAAATTGAACGGCATCAGAAACTGCAGAGGGAATGCTCTTCTTTATCCACTCTGTCCAGTGATCAAATAAAAGGGGAACACTTCTGTTAACAAACCTTATTAAAACTCCTTTTTAACTGACCAAAAATAGGCCGGTTTCGCTTCATGAAGTGTTACATTCATGAAACTTCTCAGCTTCCTCATTATTACAGTTCTCCTAGCAGCCAAAAGTGTGCTCAGCATTTTCATTCAACTTTTCCTTGTAGCCTGGTCTTTTCATGTTCACACAGTTGAAACATCCTCTTTTGTATCATTGGACTTGTTCATTTTTTTTTTCTCTTTGGTCTTAATTTTTTCCTTGAATTCAAGGAAAAATTTAAGGTTTCCATTTTGGCACATGCAGTTTGAAGCATGGGTGCTAGTAGTAAATGATTTTTTGGCAAGTGCTTGAGAAATCCTTTGTTCTTCAGCTAGACTTTCAACATCTGTAGAATTGTATGCTAAATATTTGTGTAGCAGTACCTGTTACCCCTCCTTCAGTAGGAGGGTGGAGTAAAACTGTTGTGCGCTAACTGTATATTTAAAGAAATTGAACCCAAACCTGTATTAAGTTTGCAAATTTAGAATAACAAATGCATAAGCTCTCATTAGAAGTTGTTGCTGTATGTGGGGAAATAAGCATATAAATAAGCAAGAACTATTGTTCCATAATAATCTCACTCTCATTCAGGCAGCTCTAGTTGTATGTTAAAATGTTATAATTTTCTAGTTAATTTGGATGAATGTCGTACATCGTGTTGCTTTAATTGGGTTCCCTTGTTGTCTTAGTTTAAACTGAATTTGTAACTTGAAACTGCAAAAATTCTTGCTAGTGGAGTGTAACATATAGTGTGTGTCTTGTGGTTTTATGGTCTGCTGTCTTTCTAACATACAACGCCTCTGCAGATTTTTGATCTGGTCTCAGTGAAAAGGCATTCAAGACCTGCACTTCAAATGGCCTAAGAGCCATGGATGTAACAACTATTTGTTGTTGAATGCGGAAGTAGTGGAATACAGTGAGACTGCTTCAATGTGGGGGAACAGGAATGAAGAGCTGCAGTGGACAAGCAGCTGCTTTTATTTTCCTCTGTGTTAAATGAGTGGATCAGTTACTTCAGACAAATTCAAGAGGAAAGGAGGATAGATTGCAACTCGAGATCTGCACAGAGCTTAACTTAAAATCCCCAGGTTGAAATACATTGAGATCACCCACTCATCCCTTAGTTTGGCCCTTGAAGTTTTTCATCTTTTTCCGCTCTTGGCTGGATTAGGATTGCTATACAGTGTTTGCTCTGCTTGGAGTTGCAGCAGCCTCTTAAATCAAGGCATTTATCTGTTTTGTTCTTGTAAGATTTATGTTCGTGACTCTGAGCTTGCTTTGTGCTTAGTCAGAATTTAGACTTTGAATATGTATATTATGTTTGGCAGGTGTATCTCCAGTTGTTTCAGAACACAGAAAACAGATTGATGACTTAAAGAAATTTAAGAATGACTTTAGGGTAAGTATGCTTCATATGCACAACTATCTTTTAGTCAACCAATATGCACTTTTTTTTCTTTTGATGTGAGTCTAGATTTCCTATTAATGAGCTGAACATATTTATCAACAGGAAAACTGTTCAGATTAGCATGTAATTCACACAAAAAATATCCATGTAAAATTGTGACACAAGCCAGTATGAAGTCAGTGGTGACTCTGCTTGATCTGCCTGTAGTGATCAGGTGTCCCAGTGAGATAAGAATATGCAACATTTAGATTACAGTTTAGATGTTCTAGTGAAATGCTGCTTGGAACCTGTTGATCTCTGGGCCCAAGAAGCTAGAACATTGGGAGAACACACATTTAACTGCTTGAAGTAAGCTGTATTAGGTCTTTCCTTTTACAAAATTGCTAGCTAACAGCAACAGCAGATGTACCATGCTATGTCTAATAACTTTCCTAAAACATTCTAACCAAACTTCTTAAATACCTAAGAACACAAATGGGTTTTAAATCGGTTACCTAATTGTTAAGTGTCACTTAAGTTGCACAGAAGAATATATAGAGACTTCTTGGGTTTGTCCTAATTTGTTCCCTCCTTAAAAAATGAAAAGGAATTTCTTGAGCTCCATCAAATTGCTTTTTTTAACATCTGCATGGAGGCTCCCCATATGTGTGCACTTCTTAAAATTCAAAACAAAAAAGTGTATCCTCAATTGAAATGTTTTTCATGCTGAAGCGATACACGTTTAATGGAACATTCCTTCTGATCATACAAGAATTGTCTTCTACATGTTTGCAAGGAGATGATACTTGCTGAAAGTATTAATAATTCTTTGTTTTCAGTTACAGCCAAGTTCCACACCAGACACAGTGGATCAGCTGCTAAATAAAAACCGAGAAAATGAGAAATCAAGAGAGACAATGAAAGAGAAAACAGAATCAACTTCTAAAGAATCTGTTGTTGAAACCAGCAGTAATGCCAACTCTAACAGTGGCAGTAGCAAGCCGAATAGTCCCAGTATTTCTCCATCAATTAGTAGTAGCTCTGAGCAGAAGCGAGGGCCAGAAGTAACCTCCCAAGGTGTACAAACATCTGGACCAGGCAGTAAACAAGAGAAGGAGGATAAAGAGGAGAAAAAAGATACCGCTGAGTAAGTAATTACAGGTTTAAGGCAGTATTTTTGTTTGGGGTGGGGGGCAGAGGATAGGAAGTAATTTCTTAGCATTTGCATAATATGAAACCAGGTTCTAGCTTGAAAAGAATGAATACTTTGAAGACCTCTGAGCTAAGTGGGTGAACTTATCTCCATTTTACAGATAGGAGAAGTGAGGCAGAGGTGAATGACTTGCTTGGTGCCATGCAATAAACCAGTGCCAAGGCTGTAAAATAAGTGCTTTTGTCCTCCTGCCCCTTCTGTTAATTCAGTTTACAACTTGCATCGAAGGCAGGCTGTGCAGAAACAGGCATGGTGGTTGCATTTTGTCTGGACATTGCTGTCCATGTAGCCTTAGTTGGCTAACATTGTATTTTCTGTAACCTAGTTGCATTCCCCTCCTCACCCCCATCCCTCTAATGTTAGTTCCTCGCTGGGACGATTTGTATTTCCCTACTGGCTTTGTCATCTTTTTGGATTCAGAATCCTAATCACCTGTCATGTTTCTCAGAAGCCTGCTCAGATGAGATTTTTATGGGATGTTTGTTACTCTAAAACTTGAACCGTGGACAAATTCTGGGGAAACAGTTGTTGGGGAATAACTCTAAACCTTGAATTCCTTGTATGTGTTTGTTTAGGCAAGTTAGAAAATCTACACTTAATCCAAATGCAAAGGAGTTCAACCCTCGATCTTTTGCTCAGGTAAGTTGCTTTTTTATTTTGGCATGTACATTACAGACATCTTGGGTAACTGCAATCGAATGGTTTTTCTTCATTCCTGTTTCGGGTCAGCTCCTTCATGTTGGACAGTAGTTTTCCATGTCCTGTCTCTCTCCCTGGCTTGAACCAATTTTCCTGCCTAATAATTTGCCAGCACAGGCAGCAGCTCGAACACAAGTCTTTCTAGTTCTGGAATCCTAATACACTTTTGCTTTCAGTTTCTCAGCTTTTCCATGCAAGCAGGTGAACAGGTTCAGTCCTTCTGGTCAGTTTAAATGTTATATAGGAGCACAAATAAGGTTCACATTCAGGATATAAATTGGGGTACTCTGCATTCCCCCGACACTGAGCTGACCACCTCTGTTTATTTGCAGCCAAAGCCCTCTACGACACCCACCTCGCCTCGTCCACAGGCTCAGCCCAGCCCTTCTATGGTGGGTCATCAACAGCCGACTCCAGTGTATACTCAACCTGTCTGTTTTGCACCAAATATGATGTACCCAGTTCCAGTGAGTCCGGGCGTGCAGGTAAAGCAACTCAAGTTTAATTGCTTGATAGAATGTGAAGCTCTCAGCATGTTTCAGGTGATATCCGAGTGCTTAGTCTTTAAAAATTGACGGAACACAATGAGGCCTGTTGTGCTGGCTGTTACGCCGAGTGCTCGTGGAAGTGGACACCATTATACATATGTACAGGTTCTGTTTCATTTCTGGCTTATGCCGTTACCTAACCACAAACATGCAGAGCTGCCTCTTGCCATGGGTGTTCTGAATTTTAAATTTTTATAGGAATTCCTGGGGCGATGCGTTTCAAAGGGACTGTGATTCTTACTAGCTGGGTTACCCTTGCTCTGCTTTCTGCATGCTCTCGTACAACTGACAAGTGAGCTGATGTTTTCTTCCAGGTGTGCAGTGGTCTTTTTATGTTCTGTACTAGCATTTGTTCCCCTCTCAGCCCCTAGCCATGTTGCTAGACTGCTCTCATCATAGAGGCTGCACCCTATATAGTAGCTTGATGAGATGTGCAGCATCTGCCATAAACTTGACCTGTAGACTTTCTTCTGCCAATGTTATACCTTGAGTCGCTGCTCTTCTTGAGAGGAGATTGTTGCAGACCACATGTTCTTGGACATCTGGACACACAAACTTAATAGCAATACCTACAGGGGAATTCTGTTACACAATTGACCTAGAGCCATCCTTACAAGCCTAGAGCACTGAACTGTTGGCCAAAATTATTGTGTTGTCTTTATGTAGTCCTGACTGAGCAATATCCTGTGCGGAGCTGAGTGAGTGAATGGTGGGGATGAAGGATTGCTACAGTAAAGCTAAAGCTGGCCTTGCAAAATGTTAAATTAATGCTCTTCTATCTTATCTGGTGGCTTCCATATGCAAGTTAGATTCTATTGCACTCTCTTGAGCTGATGGGGAATCCTGGTATTTTGGCTGAGGAACAGGTCATACTAGGAAAGGCTGCAGCCCTTTCAAATACTGATACCATGTAACTCGGCAAACCATCAAACTTCTATAAATGTTTGTGGTGCAGCTTCTTTCAGCACAAGAATGCAGAGCTGTGCTACTGGAATGTGTTTCAGGTTCATTTTTAGTAGCAACAAATTAAAAAAACAAAAACAAACTCAACTCCTTTTTTTTTTTTTTTTTTTTTTTTTTTTTTGATTGTAATCATTATGTGACCTCAACAAAGCACTAAAATGTCAATATTGTGGGATAAGGTTTTACATTAAAATAAACGATCATTGTAGAGTTTAGATTACAAGTGTGGTTCTACTCCTTTTTTCTTTTTCCTGAAAGTATGATCTAGTTCACTGGCTCTCAAACGCTTTGGGGTTGTACACCCCATTTTAAATGTTTGATGGCTGCACTACCTCCCCTCATAAGTGTGTTGAGTAAGAAAAGGTAGTACTCGTTTCCCTAGAATTGCACTCCAGCCACTCCACCAGCAGAAAGGTTTGTGTAGAGGTGTTTTTCAGATAGTGTTTTTTCTTTTCCTCCATTTAGGTTTCCTCTAATTATTGTGCTCTTGACACTGTTGCCATCTTTTATAGTTTGTCTTGGAGAAATAAAAAATGCACTAGTTCTTGGGAGAGAACAAAGATTATTTCTGATTTTCACTTGTGGTTACAAACTGTTACAAGAGTCCTGGCTGAAAATGCCTAGCTGATGTTTCTCGGACAGTTTTAAATGGCCTATTCTAATCTCCATATTTTTATTTTTTTTTTTAATTTCAGCCTTTGTATCCTATTCCCATGACACCCATGCCAGTGAACCAAGCCAAGACATATAGAGCAGGTAAAGGTGAGAGTAATACTGCCTGTTCAGTTTAAGACTGCATGTGGCATGAATAGAGAAACAGACTTGCACACCGTTGTCCAGATGATGTTGTTACCTTGTTCTCTGCCAGTATTTACTTATTTAATCAGCATAAGTAAGTAGCAATGCAAATTCTGTGTTGACTATTAAAAATGCTATGTGATGTTAGGATTGCATGCATCTGAATTTAGTACATGGTGACCACATTTCAAAATGCTTCCAATATTTTGAAACATCCAGCTGCCAAACAGCTCAGTCTCCCGTATTTCCCAGATGGTGAAGAAGAGGATCTCTCTGTAGCAGTTGCAGCAGAGCATTGATTTGGTCTCAGTAGGATATTTTTATAGTATTCTTCCACTAACTTCCACGGTACCCTGCAGAAAAGAGTCTATTTTTGTTCCTCCTTGCAGTCTTGGAGCACCACTCAGAATGGCTTCCTGCTGCTCTCATGAGCTCACTAGGTTTTGAATCCATCTTGCATTCAAAGAATGGAATAAGTGCTTTAACCCAGTATTTCTAGGGCTGTATTGTGCTTCCCTGGGAGTGATGCCTGGCTATCTGGTGTGTATACATAACTGAAGGGCAGTGCCTAAGTTTTAATGCACCTGGTGTGCAGAAAGCAGGAGCTGTTTTGCTATGGCCTTGTTACAGTAAATACTTCTACATTTGTCTGTTTTGACAGTTTGAGTTTTGCATTCTTTGCTGGTTTGGGTTTAAGCCCCAGTTACTGGAGGCAGTTGAATGTGAGAGCATCTCTGCTCTGGTTTTAAAGAAGGGGTAATACCTGTAATAGTTGTGAAGAAAAGTTAGATAAGTGTATCCTAAAGCTACGAACCAGAAAGCAAAAATAAAAACTCACAAAAGGATTTTATTTTCAAATCCCCTGAGGGGAGGGGGTGCTGGGCAGGTCTGACTACATGGGATTACTGTTCTGATTATACCAGTTATGTATTGTGTTCTTTACTCTCCATGTCCCTCTTCCCTTGAGGTGAGAGCACGTAGGAAGTATCGGTGTTCAAGCCATTCAAGCACGTGTTTGCAGTAGATGAAGTCTCTGTTGTGTGCAGGACAGCTTTGCAGAGTGTAGCCCCTCCTAATGAAACACTGTGTAGGCCTTTAAGTTTCAGAGACCGCTAATATAATCACTTTCTTCCCTGCTCTCTGCTGTCGGATGAAGTGCTCTGTTCTTTCGTTTTAAGTACCTTCCTTCAGTGTTGCAGTGACTTCTGTTTTGTGACTCTCCTGTGATGCACGTTTCTCAACCATCATGTGGGGTTTGCCTTTAAATCCCAGGCATTGAAGCTCCATTTTATGTTGTTGAAGCTGCTTTTTTGCCTTAAGAGCTTTTTTCTATTTGTTTTGCAAGTGAAACGCCATCTTCCCAAACAAGCTTGCTGCTGCCTCTTCAATGTTGCTGCCCCTCTTCCTCTCGCTCTGTGGGTCTATCTGCTGCAGTGTAGCATAGCAGTTACCTGAGCTGCCTACAGACAAGTCAGCTTGGGCCCTGGAACTGCGGCAGTGCAGGAGCCCAGCAGTGCTAAATTACCCTGTCTGTCCTCAGCAGAGAGAACCAGCCTGTGCTGAGCTAGCTCTGGTACCTCTATGCTCTCCTACAGTTTAGATATACTCTTCTTCTTTTGCTAGCCCCCTTCCTCCTCCTCCTCCTAGCACTGAGTACCTCTTTAGCTCTGACTGTGATGAAGAGATTCCTTCTGTTGTCCCATCTTTCATGGCAGCATGTAAAAGATGTGAGCACCAAATCATTGCTGGAGCAGCCAACACCGCCTATGGGAAGGCAGTCACTCTGTTCTTGTTTAAACTCATATCTGTCACTTGCTTCTAAAATGCATGGTTAAAGCTGGTAGTGAGGGTATTCAAGTACATTGCTGTTCTAGATCCACACGTCTCACACGAGGTCTTCCTTGCTTTGTAGTACCAAATATGCCACAACAGCGGCAAGACCAGCATCATCAGAGCACCATGATGCATCCCGCATCAGCAGCCGGCCCTCCGATTGTTGCGACACCACCAGCTTATTCAACTCAGTATGTTGCCTATAGCCCCCAGCAGTTCCCTAATCAGCCTCTTGTGCAGCATGTGCCACACTACCAGTCTCAGGTAAGACACCTTTGTGTTGGTGTCGTGTCTTGGCGTGTTCTTGTTTGCAGCAGGTGAATTATCAAATGTCTGTGTTCATTCAAGTGGGGTTGGAGTGTTGTAATCATGATGGTCCAGTAAATAGGAGAAGCCAAGGGTGGTGGTTTGTTTTTTTTTTCAGTGATACCTAACTGTGAAAGTGCAGTGTTAATCCTAGAATTGTGAACTATACCTGTAGCAATTGTAAATGGTAAGGAGATTCTGGAGAAATACAGAATATTGGCTCTGTTCAAAGTCATTTGCAGACGTTAGTGTAAACTTTATCAGTAAATACCTATCTCAGATATAGAATACCTGTGTCACCATTAACTCTAAATATTTTTTTTAATGAATAAGTGGACTAGTGTTTTGATGGCTGCATATTTTTTCAGTCCCTGAACATAGCTTAATAGCTTTCTATTCACTGGGAAGATTCCTTCTGTGACTGCTTAACAGTACTCTGTTCCTTTTGTGGAAGTTACTGCTTGCATTACATTTGAAGGGGCAGTGTGGAAAACGGTGATTCAAGTGTGTGGCTTGTGGGGGGGAGTCATTTTTTAGTTAAAAGCAAAGTAAGCTACAAGTTTCCAAATTAGCATCAAGTGTCTCTAAAGATGTACTGCACTAGCTTGATGAAAGACTGCTTCATTTCTGCACAACAACAGTTTTTGACTTTCATTTTTCTCCTGTCTTTGGCACAGCATCCTCATGTCTATAGCCCTGTAATACAGGGCAATGCTAGAATGATGGCCCCGCCGACCCATGCACAGCCCGGTTTAGTATCTTCTTCAGCAACACAGTATGGTGCGCATGAGCAGACGCATGCTATGTATGGTAGGAAACGTTTTGTGTTACATGTAACTTTTTAAGTTGTTACATTGTGCAGGGATATATTTAATCTCAAACTTCAAATCTGGGTCTCGTGTTTAAGATTTTGTAAGTAGACCCAGCCTATGGGCCGTGAAAGTAACAAGCAACGCATCGCAAATTTGAGTCACCCGAAATAATAAAGTGAAAATAACCCCAGGGTGCTAATTTCAACAAGGGGCAGGTGACTGAGAGGAAACGTAGTTGCGAGAAGCTGCTACCGTAGTAGTCTCAACCTCATTAGATTTGAGGCACCCCTTGTAAAATGCCAACTTTTTGTTGTAAAATGCCAACTTTTTGTTTTCACCCATTTTAGACAACAGAAAAACAGTAGAGTAATTCTTGTTGCAAGCAACTCGGAGACCACAAGAGCTCAGCATGCTCTTGGCACTATGAATTCTTGTTTGAAATCCCTGGGTTTATCTTGTGAATCATGTTTGTGCACTAACAGTGCTGTCATTGTGTGGCACCCTGCATCACCCTTGAAAGGATCTCAAGGCACCCCGAGGTGCCATGGCATCCAAGTTGAGAATCACCATGCTAAGGGATAGCAGGTGAATGAAGTCTTTGGAAACTTCTTGATGCTCTACGCACGACGTACCCCGATTGATTTTTCTTGGGCTAATCGGGGCTGAAGTTCTGTGATGAGACCGTGACTGCAGTTCTGGAACTTGAGACTTCTATTTCTGATAACTGGGAAACCACTGCCTTAATAGTGATACTATTAACAGTGTAAAGACTGTCATCCAAGCGAAGTGTCATTTTATGTGTAGGCTAATGTTTCCGTGGTAAACGGAATATAAATATTTAAAATTCATGTTTTAAGTGTTTAGTCTCTGACTTCAGTGATGACCAGGACTCTCCAGAATGATCGGTTTGTCACCTTTTGCTTGCACCAACCTCACTGAAATCCTGGAAAAAAGAAACTCTAAAATACAATGCAGAGAGTCTCTCAAGCTTCATAAAAGTACAGGCAGTTGGTGCAAAGTTTTTCTTCAGAATAGGTTGTCACAGACTGGACCCTGAGGACACAGACCTATCGTCTTTTGGGGACTTAAAGATGGAGATGAATGTCAGACAAGGAAAATATCTGCATTGGGTGATGGAAGCGTGTTCTTGGCATCTTCAGGCATGTCCTTTATTGCCTACTTTAATGTGACTCCATTAAACTGCCTGTTTAGCCGGCTAGGTTTTCCATCAGTGGCTTAGTTTATGACTCTTAACGTAGTAGTTCAGATGCAGAGTATTCCCCATTCACATTTCAGCAAGTGTCTCGCATGCTAGCTTCTTGAAGACCTTGGAACTACCGTGCGTCTGGAAAGCAACACTTCAGCTTCCATGCATCAATAGCTGGCTGTTTGCGTGAGCAAATTGTAGCATTGGGTAAGCTGATGTACTGCTGCCGGGGTAAACTGCTATAGGGCACTTTGCTGGATACATTCATAATAGCTTAAACCAGACAACATGAGCTCTTAAGATGTCTGCAGTTTTGACTTGTACTGTAAGAGGATATCTGTAATAACGTTTTTGTAGGCGTGTATTACTTTCTTATAAATCTTAATTGTCCCCTCAACATCTGTATATTGGGTATGACAACACATCTTGGAAAGCACTTTTCAAATTGATGTTAATTTTTTTTTCAGAGCTGTTTGGTGAATCTAGAGTAACGACTTCCTTCTGCATGATTTTTGCCATGCACAGTTAGGAATAACAGCCACTACTTCTGTTTTCTAGAATAAAGTCACTCAAGCAAGTTCTCATTTACTTCTGCCTTTTTTTTTATTATTCCCTGATTTTTATTTTTCCCCTGCTGCTTTGGGGATGAAGTGCATTCGGGCTCCTCTGTCCATCAACCAAATGGATGATATTTTGGGATACCGTTTCATTGTTCTTTGAAGAACTGCTCCATTTGCTATCAGATTTGTTCTGTGTGCGTGCATGGGTGTTTGAGGAAGAAGTCTGCAAGCTGCACTGGGTAGTACTGCTTGCAAAGCATTTTGCTTTTCTAGCACTTCCTTAAAATGGGAAAGGTGCCCCAGCAAGAACCGAAACTCCACTTTTGTAACTTTGTTGCGTTACTCGCCTCAAAAAATAGTCACCTGCCACAGAAGAGAAATAAGCTTTTTCTGCCCATTTGATTATCTAGCCACTCTGCAAAAGGGTCCTTCATGCCAGAAGACACTGCATCTGAAATGCTTCTGATCGCTTATGCCTGGTAAATCTTTCTGACAGCAAAGAAAAGTGTTTGAAGCACTTGAAGACCACCCCCCGCCCCTTTGTTTCTGCTGTGTAGTTGAATGGGTTTGCCAGATACGTCCAGTACTAGGTAACTCCTGGGGATCTGGCTGGCTTCTTCCTCACTGCTCTTAGCTGTTGCACGCTTCTGTTGTTTCTTCAGCTCCTGGAACAGGAGCATCTTCAAGGGAAGCAAAGTAGCTGAACTTCATGGCCACTAAAACCCAGGAATTAGTGCTGCACTCAACTGCATGCTTGTGTCTCAGTAACGGCACTTTTAAGAGAAAATATTAAACCATCCGTCGATGCAACCAAATGGTAGAGCAGGAAACAATTGTAAAAAGCCTCCGATACCTGCCTGATTTGGGTGGTAAGTTTTCAGCCACTTAAATCACGTGATTTAAGTGCTTAATCCTGGAACAAAGCAGCAATATTTGGCCTTAACTGTCCAATAAAAACAACTTAATGCTGGATCATCCCTCCTTCCCTATTAAACCACCTGCTTGTCCCAAAGAACAGTTGGCACTTCTTGCCTTCCATAAACTATGGGCCATTTATCGCCATGTTATCCGCTGTGGCTCAGTGCACCTTTTTATCACTGATCAGTGAAGTTTACTGGACCAGTCACTGAAGGGGCAAACTGAATTTGTCTAGTTGCTGTCACCTGCAGAATGATATACACTGGGTCTGGTTTGCCAGGAGAACCCCTGACGATCTTAACCTGCGAGGGCAAATATATTCCTGTAACAATTAACTTTTCAGTAGTTTGACCATTTTTTAGTCAAATGACTCTGTTTTAGATAATTGCTGTCTGCTGTGTAAACTTCCTTGTGTGTTTTAAAGGCTTTGTATAAAACCAGTACTTGGTTTTACACAAGAGAAATCATTGATTCCTTTGCTTGTTCTTGGTCCTCCTTCTCTTCTGCACATGTTTTTATTGGTCTGGTGTTTTCTCTAACCGTATCTGGTTTTCTGTCTCAGCAGTAGAGTAAATTCTCATATCCCAACTAGTACAGTGGTGGGTATGTTATAACCGCCTGGTAACTCAGGGACTAAGAGCGAACTGATCACCTGACTTACGGCGCTGTTAAGAACACTAATAGTGCTGTTGAAAAAAGGGCCAATTTGTTTGCTTTATTATAACTGTTAACTCGATCACCGAAGTTTTTTAGTGAAATATCCTGGCCCCTTAACAGATGTACTCTTTATTTTATTTTTATTTGTATTAAATTGTAAATCAAGAGCAACTGGAGACCTTGGTGTTACCGTTCAGACAGAGGCCTTCCTGGGACTTACTTATATCAGTGTCACTACGTTAGAAATTTTGCTGGCAATCTCCAGCAGTACTAACTGAACAAATACATATATCTGCATGAACCTACAATCTGCACAAAATGAATGTTGACCTTTCCAGAAGATTGGAATCATGCACATGGCAAGAGGCTAATTTACCTTTCTATTTCCCAAATTCAGCATGTCCCAAAATACCATACAGCAAGGAGACAGGCCCTTCTTTCTACTTTGCCAGTGAGTTGGGTTTTTTGTACTAATTTTGATTGTACAGAAAAGCACTTTCTGAAGAATAGGTGTTAAAGGAACGAACATGGTAAAGGAGTAGCTCTTCCTTGCATCAAGCCAAAAGACAGGAAAATGCAGGAAAGCTGCTTTCTGTGAACCCAGGAAAGGAGCTGTTGAATGACTGACCTTACAGGCACCTAGAGCTAATGCGCAGTAGACTGAGCTGTCTGAGAAATGGATGCATTTAAATGCATTTGCGCTTGCCGAGTGAATGTCATGCTTTGTGCAACAATCGCTGCATCAACCAGTCTGCTGCATCTTGAAATGAAATGACCCCCAACCACCTCTTCTGTCCCAGCTGTCATCTGCAACCAAAATACCTGTGCTGCGCAGGGGTGACCAAACACTGAGCATCTCCAAGTTTACAACCTCTGCACACTTCTCCTTTTCCTCTGCCCCTTCCCAAAGATGGGATTTTTGGGTGTCTCTGGGTTAATCGGGAAGGGAATGCTAGTACTTTACCAAGAACAAAATGCTGAGGTCTGAACTGTGAGCCCTATGGGAGGACCAGGTCCTGCACTCCAGTGGTAGTTGCAGGAGATGGCTCCATGCTCAGCACCATGTTCTTTGCTGGTGCCTGGGGGTGGGTTCCTCCCTGTCAAGTAAGCACTGCCGGATGCGTTACCTGGCCTTGCAGTCCTTGTCCAGCGCCAGTACACCAAGTGGCGAGCTGGTCTCTGCAGCCTCTTTCCTAGCATATCTTAGATGGCCCAAGTCTAGTGTATCTGTATGCATTGAACAAGAGCGGTGAGTAGTCTTTGTGAACTGTTAGCAGGCCTCGGTCACCCCTAACTGCAAAAGCAGAACGGTGGAGGAGGGAAGATCTGGCATAGGCCAGGTGAAACAAATGGACAAGGGAAATACTGAGGATTTGATTCTTTTGCTGGTGGCCCCTGTGTTTGGGATTGGGAGCGTGGATCCCAGTGAGCATTCCAAAATGAAGTATGTTACTCTTAATATGCAAACCAGCAAGCAAGCTTTTCCTTTAGTGAGGACAGCGGTTCCAGCAGCTATCCGCAGCTGGGCTGGGCTGGGCTGGGCTGAGGCACGGTCATCCTGCTGCATCCAGCCCTGCCCACTGGATAGCTCTGCTGGGAAGGGTGGGACTTCACTCCTGGGTCTCCCCAACCTGCTCCTGTACTGCAGCAAGCTAGTAAATGTTTCCATCTGCCTGTGTTCGTAGCAGCCATCTGCTGTTGTGCACCCACGTGTCTGTAGGTCAGCTCATTCAAGAGGATATAAGAACACGTAACTCCTGGTCCTGAACACGTGCTGGTTTTGAAAGGATGGTAACCTGGTTTTTGTCTGGCACGCGGGACATGCGGCGTGCGGAGTGACTCTTGTCAGCTGCCAGGCTGCATACCAGACACTGGCTCGGATTCCCTGGAGGGGGGGTTTCATTGTGTTCATGTGTCTTGGTTTGGTGCATTGAAATCCTTTTACCATGTTCATTCCTTTAGTAGGTATTTTTTTTAAATGACTGCACTGTACATGTGTAAAATGACTTTGTATGTGTTTATACGATGAAAGAGACATTGTTATTTCTTTGCTTCCTACCATTCAAACTGAGGTCTTTTAAATGCAGTTATCCTCACCATCTTACTGGGTCTGGCAGTAGCCTTCAAGCCAATTCCCTGGTCGGTATCTGGAATAGTAGGGTCCAGCTGCCAGTGCCTTCACCACTGGCAGCTACCCCTAAATCCCCTGTCAGCCCTGACCTTTCTGCGGGGGCCCCGCCCTGCGGGCTCTTCCCCCCCTGCCCCCTACCACTAAATCCCTTGTCAGCCCTGACCTTTCTGCAAGAGAAATGGGAGCTTCTGTGGTGAAGAGGTTGACTTCAGCCTGGGGCCAGTTCTCTGCGTGGTCTCTGCTGCTCTCATTTTTTCATGTGGGCTGTATCTGTGGCCTTACGCTGTCTGTCTTTTTCCCCTTTTTGTCTGTGGTGTCACCCATGTTGACTCTAGTGTGTGTTTTCTGGCTTGATTTTAGTTGGGGTTGAATTCAGCAATTAAAAAACCCTTCTGGTGTTTTGCCCGATCTAATGCTGAACTGCTTATTTTACCTGGCTTTCACTATCGAAATGGCAGCCACATTGGGAATCTGGCTTGATTAGAAGATGCTGTAGGTGTGAAGCAAATCGCCTAGTGCGTGTTGCTAGGAAATGAGAGGTCATGACTTAGGGGCGAGAGAGCATTTCTGCTGAAGGTGAGATGATCTGATTGCTCAGACTGAGGTGGCATGGCTAAATCATTAAGTAGAGCTTTCTCTGCACTTTACCCCATATCGGGGAATGGGCATTCAAAACAACGGTATTGGCTTAAGAAGGAACACTTCACCGTGTGTCAGGGTGATGCGCTGCATCAGTTCGCGATGTCTGCTGTATCCTAGAGCAGGTGAGAACTAAACCCTGGTAATTCTGGCAGCTATTTCATTCAAAGGTAAAGTGCCCCACAGCGTGGCTCCCACTTACTACAGAATTGAATGCATGTGCTGAACAGTTGTAATGCATCTGATGATTCATGTTCACAAGCAGCAGTCCCCCCACCCCTTTTAATTTGGCAGAATTGTTTCATCTCTCTGTACCCTTTGACAATAAACTGTGGAAAACCACAGTCCTGCTTATGGGTCAAGGAAAGTGTAATATGACTTCTGCTGGCTTGTTAGTTATACTTCCTTTCTGTGGTGATAGAGATGACTAAAAAAATATACATAGGGTAACTCTCTTTTGATGAACAAACCCTTTTTTTACTCAGCTGTCATAGTAAAGGCAGTTTGATTTGTTTCTAGAATGGTAAATTTTTCATGACTGTTTTGCAAAACTTAAACTTCAAGTTCTTGATACTTCCGTGTATAGTAATCAAGTGCCACCATCATTTAAATCTCCCTAGAACTTAATTGATGCTGAAGAAACTTACTTTATATGGAGATCAGTGAGAGCACATGCACAGAGTTTTCTCCCACACTTGATAATAAAAGGGAAGGAAAAGCCTTTACAAAATGAAATGCTGTCTCAACCTGTTTATGGGATGATTAGCATAAGGAATCAATAGCTCTGGAAAAACAGATTCTTTAGAAATAAATTTAAAAAACCTTTCTCGAGTGACCTGATTTGAAGTCTGCACCATGGCTGTATGAAAGGTGCCCACCACTTCCAATTTAATTGACTCTGATTCTCTTGAGGCTTAACTGGATTCCATACAAAGGTTTTACTCAAGTAAGAAAGCTTCAGGAAGACTAAAGAGGAATTATTCTTCAGTTTTACCATTAAAACAAAACTTGCTGCAGCATCTGACATAGAAGTTATACCTAAAAAACCTGAAGCTGACTGAAGTAGGTTATGAAGACAAATGCCCTGCAGAGATGGAAATCTGAGATTTCAAACGGCAATGAATCCCAGGTCTTCAAACCAAAAATCTGCTGACAAGCAGCATTCTCTCCCCAGCTGTGGGATATGCTGCTGGACGCCAGTGACTTGCTTTTGTTCCTGTGCACTTAGATCGCTCATGAGGACTAGACAGACGTGCGCTGGTGACTTGCCTGCCCGATCCATTCTTTGAAGCTTGTGTGCTTGAGAGATTTGTGATCGTCTCTTATTCCTCTATAGCTTGAGGAATGACCTCTCCCGAGTGAAGGCTGGCTGGATGTGGGAAACTTGGAGTATCTTACAGCTTGAACTCCTGCTTCGGTATCCCTTCCTGGGTGGAACCGAGCTTCCTCGGCAGGGAGGCAGGATCGCTTTGTGGTTAAGACTGGAAGGGCTGGATGCAGTTCCTAGTGCTGCGTAACCTTCGGAAAAGAACTGAATCCCTCTGCCTCCGTTCCCCATCGTTAACACGGAGACGCTTCCCACCTGCCTTGGACTAGTCATAGGAATATATCCGCGCGGAGCCAGTCCAATAGAGTAAGAGTTCCCTGAAGAGAGGAAACGTAGAAACGGAAACGAGCTGGTTTTGAATTGGAATGTGTAAAACGCCCTGTTCAGCCGATCTTGCAGGAAGTGAGAAATATGTCACTGCTTTAGGCATCTGGTGCCGCTGCCGATGAAACCCTAGTAGCAACATGAAAAAACCAAAGCAATGATTTAAATTTGAGCATCAAAACCGTTTATCAAGGCAAGATCCCGGGTCTCGTTTGTCAGCACAGGAACACGGACAGTTTCGGGCAAATTTTGCAGCTCAAAAAACTGAACTCCCAGCTGAGAGTGCCTGTGGGACATCTGTTTCAGTGCCGTAACGAGGCAGGCTCAAAATAATGCCTTCATCCTGCAGATCAAAAGCCTCGCGATGTCGTCTCCAGAGCTCATCCACATTGCAGAATCGGACCTTGGTGGATGCCACTGTTGTACTGTTGGCCTGAAGCAGGAGGTCGGAGAAGGCTTGCCGAAGTATTATTTTAGAAGGGTTGAATGTGCTGTAAGACCTCCTGGATGGCTGTTGCAGGAGAAGCAGCCCTCTGGTAGCGGAGCAGCGTTGAAATGATTGATTGAACAGGAGGCAGTGGAGAAGTAATGGCAAACTGGCCTGGGAAGTGTTAGGCAAGTGAGTGACTGGGACATGTCTGGGGTACACAGCAGAGCAATACGATGGCTACTCCCCGTCCAGGCAGGGGTGTCCTTTTATTGGAGGCATTTACATTTTTTGTCTCCTTTAACCCCCTTCTCAGGACAGTCGGATTAGAGCCCTCTGTTTCCATGTGCGTGTTACTGAAGGATTGTACAGGGCCCCTGCACTCGGTGACGTGAGCATGGCTGGGGGCAAGAGTTGGGTTCAGGACCTAGGGATAGTTGGATTCAGTGCCGGTGGAGCACTGCCTTCCGCATGCTGTCGCAGGGTTGGAAGGAGTTAATGCCCAGTGTGAGTATGTAGTGACTGCACGGCATCTGGGAGCTGTGCCTGGTTTGGTGGCTTGTGTTCTCAACTTGTACAGGATCAAAAAACTGCAAGTGTTAGGCAGCATCTCTGTTCCTCATGGACTGGCACAGTTGGTTAAATTTTCCCTCAATGGTGCGGTGAAGTTTGTTTTTGGAGCCGCTCGCTGTGGCTTCAACCTCAGAGCAAAAGGCCAACAGAGTTGTCCATTTTGTAGCAAAATGTGGCCAGACCTTTCACTGGGGACCTTCTGAATACATTGGTTTTATTGTTGGGGGATACCCCGTAGCTTGCACAGCTGAAGCTGATACATGATGCTTGGTTTGGGCATTTAAGTTGTTTTCCGCTGGGGGTCAGTTTTCTGTTGAACACCAAAAGGCTTGCAGACTGGGAACACAAAGGCATGAGAGGAAGAGGGGACTTTTATTCTTCACACACAAGATACCAGCTATAACTAAAATTGGCTTTTATGCATATACCATTGGTCCCTTTTAACTTGCATTCACGTGCATGGTATGTGTCGGTGTACATGTAAAATGCATGCACTGACTGAACTGTGAGATCTCCAGAAAAGTAGCATGGTGAGGTTAGCTAGATATAAGGCCAAAGACTTTGTGGATGGTGGAAATTAGCATATTTAAAGAAGGAAAAAAAAAAAGTAAATTCTGATGCAGCTAATTCCAAATTGTTGTTTGGATTGGTCCACGTGACTAAAAGCAAAGATAAAATACTGCTCTTGTGACGGTGTCCAGTACCTGTTACATCGTCAAGCTGAATTATTAATTATGGTTATTTATAGGCTTTCCTGCCAAACTGGGCAAACTTCACAAAAGCTAGTGTAAATTTGTAGAGCTAAGGTAAGGTGTTTAGGTAATACCTGTTCAGGAAAAAAGGACTAATTTCTAGTAGCAGTAGCAAGCAGTCGTATCCTCCAGTGGAGGCGGCTGTGTGATAATGGGAATTTGAAGTCCTGGGTCTCACTAACTTCCTCTTCCATTCTAGTTTCCACTGGCTCCCTTGCTCAGCAATATGCCCATCCCAATGCTACGCTGCATCCGCATCCTTCTCACCCGCAGCCATCTGCCACGCCAACAGGCCAGCAGCAAAGCCAACATGCCGGAAGCCACCCTGCTCCCAGCCCAGTGCAGGTATCCATGCGTGGGGGGCACTGCATCACCTGCTTCTTTGGCATCTTTGTTCAGAGGGAGAATCTATGCTGAGGAGCATCAGTTCAGGGGGCAAATGTAACCTCCCTAGAGACTGTATTCAGATGCCTGTCGAGGAACTGGGGGGTGCTGGGGATTTGGTGGTCTTGGTCTTGTGCTGTCCTGTGAGCCTGAGATCCATCCCATCACTATAGGATGAGGGTGAGGAGGAGGAAAGGTAGTGGCTTACCTGGCTGTGGGGAAATAGGTTGGTTCTGCAGGCACCTTGCCGTGGTCCCTTCCCTGCAGCCTGGCTTGTGAAGGTGCACAAAGGAAGCATTGTGCCATGGCTGAGCTCGTCTCTCGCAAGCGGGTGCAGACGCACAGCAGGTGCCCGGACGTGCATTCTGGGAGCATCAATTTTGAGCAACGTGTCCTGGCTTCCCTGTGAATGCGTGCGTGGGGCTGTTCCCTGGGTGCTAGCGTGGATGCACACAAGCTAGCTCTAATCTCTCCTCCTCCCGCGACATTGTCTTTGCAGCACCATCAGCACCAGGCCGCGCAGGCCCTCCACCTGGCCAACCCGCAGCAGCAGTCGGCCATTTACCACGCGGGGCTCGCCCCGACCCCGCCTGCTATGACGCCAGGCTCCAACACACAGTCTCCGCAGAACAGCTTTCCTACAGCACAACAGACCGTCTTCACCATCCATCCTTCCCATGTTCAGCCTGCCTATACCAATCCGCCACACATGGCCCACGTACCCCAGGTAAACCCACTTTGAAGCCTTCCAGAAACATTGTGTTGCCTGTTTCATGTGGGTAACTTGGTTGGGGGAGTGGACCCTTCTAGCAGCACTTCCCCCAGCATTGGCTAGTAGCTGTGTTGCTTAGGTCTCTATTTGCCTAATGCTGTTCGAGAAATCTGGAAGCTCCATTAGATGCCCCAGAACATGGTAACCCCCCATGTTTCCTAGCCGGCTCCTGTGGGGCTCCACTCCAGTGCTTGTCGAAACCCATTGCGAACACAAGGCTTAACCCTTTTAAGCCCAGCCAACAGGGAAATGCTTGTGACAGCTTTGGGAAGCCCTGGGAGGGTAAGGACCTTGTGAAAGGGCTGGCAGTGAGGTCACTGGTCAGCCTTGGGGTGAGGGCAACCAAGATTCAGGTTAGACAAAGGCAAGGAAGAATTGTAACTGCACGGGTGGGGTTGCAGACAGGGTGCAGGGAGGGAGACCTGCCTGGGCGTCCAGGCCTACCCAGTGAGTATTTGCTTGGCTGGCAGCTAGGGATGATGGCGCAAAGCCTGTTTGGATGCTGCCTTCAGCCCTTGGCTCCCACCTTGGAGTCCAGCGACCTGAGTAGAGGACAAGCTTATGCGGAGCACACAGATTAGAAGACAGTTGTGTGCTTTCTTGCCTAGGGGGAAGACTCCTCCTTAGCAGCAGGAGGACAGCAAACAGCTCAAGCTATGTGACCTCGTGTGACTGGTAGTCCTTGGTCGTGAATCTTGCTAAGCTCTCTGCTCTGTCCCCTGGACAGCTGGTTCCACAGGCCAGCCAGGAGCTAGGCCTAATGCCTCCTTGCAAAGGCTAGGTGTTAGTACTGTCACTGGGTTTATTGTTGCCTTACCCTTGGGTTCAGAGGAGGAAATCCCAGCTGGCTTGTGCCTGGCGGCTCTGCGCTGGGATCTTGCTGCTGCCGCTGGAGCACCTGGATGCTACCAGAAATGGGATGTTGGGCTCAGTGGGCTGTCAATCTGTCCTGGCTCGGGTAGTCCTGGGGACTGGGGCTTTCTGGCTCCGCGCGGTCCCTTGAAAGTCCTGCCTGCTGCCCCTCTGAAATGCTTGGAGTGCCGAGCCTCCAGGCTGGCTGCTCTGTGGAGGCAGTCTCCTCACGTGTACTGCAGGGGCAGGGGGGGCAGATGGTGCCGTCATGCAACCACCAGTTCATACTGGTGTTTCAGGGCACCACCCTCCACTGGGAGTACTGGTCTGTGATCCCTCCCGGAGCCCAGGACATAGTGATGAACAGGAGAATTGGGTGCCAGTGGTACTGCAAAAGCATTTGACTGCTGTGAAGTCTCCAGTACCTCTGGGGAGCTGAGACCAGGTTTCTCTGCCTCTGGGCTAGGCTTGCGGAGCCTTGGCCTGTTGGCTTGACGGGCACGGCCATCTCGCACAGTAATCCGCCGAACTGGGCACTGCTCTGCGAGTCCCTAGTGACCCGGTCCCCTGGGGTTGTGGTTGTGGGGCAATGCTGGTTCAGCATGTGAGGGATTGGGGTTCAGCCCCATGACAGCAGAGGGGCTCGTGGTGCTGAGTGCTGTTGTGCTGCTCTCTGCACCAAGGAGATTCCCAGCAGGCTGGCCTCGGGAGATTCATGCCCACGTCGTGTGCAGTGGGCAGCGCTCTGAAGGTCTCTTGTGGAGCTCAGCATGTCACGTGAGCCAGCACTGAGAACGGGCCCAGGTGTTGGGTTCTGTAAAGCACTGAGACAGTGGCACAGGCAGCCTGAGCTGCTGCATGTGTCGCTGCCACAGGGACAGTAACCACCACCCGGCTGGGGTAGAAAGGCCACTGCAGGCATGACAGATGTTAGAAAAGGCTGGGAAGACATGGCTGATGGGCAGAAAAGGGGGCCCTAGGCAGTGTGGAGCCTTCTGGGGCTGCTGGAAGGCATGTCCCATCTTGAGGAAGGGCGTCAGTAAGGCAGTAAAATGAGCGCCGAAGGGGACTCTGCTTCTGCACTCGGATGTTTAATGACTCCGAGGGGCCTCCGCTGCCTGCTCCTGTCTGCACTAGTGTTCAGACCCTGGGACTATCTGCCCGCAGCAGCGGGGCTTTTCTCTCTAACGAAATGTGCTAAAAGGACCACATCTGACTTCTGCAAACCATCTGCAGCCAAACACCCTGCTGGCTTGGGGCGCTGCTTAGCTTGAGGACTTCCAAGACCTCGCTGAGATAGCGAGGACCTTGCAACTGCAAAGTGTTGGTCTTTCCTGTGGCTGCCTCCTGTCCGTGAAGTGCCATGAAGGAGCTGAGGGAGATGCATGCTTGCTTGTTTGTCACAGGGTGATCTGCTGCGACAAGCTGCATCTCCGTTTCCATTTGAGATGTGGCCGGGGCATATGAGAACCTGAATGTGTTGAGCTGCACTAAAGATATATCCAAGGTGACAGAATAGCAGAATAAAGGGGTGGAATGAGTACCCGCCTGGCTGAGAACAAGGCCATTGGGCTTTGGAAAGAGCGGGTATCGAGTAGGCAGCCAAGAAGAGGCATTGGGGGAGTCTAGGATGTGAGCAACCAAGTTAGTGTAGTTGCAAAGTCTCTGTTTCTCTCAGGAGAAGTTCGCAATCTTTGCCTTTGCTTTGTGGCTTTCCTTGCAGTACCTCCTGTGCCATGTGGAGGGCCAGTCAGTTGGTCTTTCTGCCCAGTGCCAGTTCATCCTTTGCGTAGGAAAGGAGTCCCAGGTGCTTTTCAGCATTAGTAATGACACGCGAGGGGTCTTCTGCTGTCCCCAATCCCCCCACCCTCACACTGGTGGTCTCTCCTGTGCTCTTAGTCAGTAACGGGACTCTTGCCCCAGTTGCCGGTAGTGAGAAGAGATGTTCGTAGCAGGGCAGAGAGCAAGGATTTGAGGCCCTCCCCCAGGCAGCAGGCTCAGCCCCCATTGCACGCACTGGCCAACCTAGCACAAGCGGAGCAAATCTCCGGACTTCCTGAGACGGCCGGAAGAGTCTTTGATAGCCCCGTGGCCAGGAGTGTTGCCTCCTTGTGACCATTATACTAAAGAGCTCTTTGTTTCAGGCTCATGTACAGTCAGGAATGCTTCCTTCTCACCCAACTGCCCATGCTCCAATGATGCTAATGACGACACAGCCACCTGGTGGTCCCCAAGCCGCCATCGCTCAAAGTGCACTACAGCCCATTCCAGTCTCGACAACAACACATTTCCCCTATATGACGCACCCTTCAGGTGAGGAGTGTGTGCCTGGGAGACCTGCACTGTAACTGAGCCAGGTCAAACTAGTGAGGAGAGCAGTGTGAGCCAGGTGTGGGGAGAAAGAGAGAAAACAAAAAATCCTCAAGATGTCCTTTTTTTACCGAGGCAAACTGCTAGAGGCAGACGGCTGTTCTGCCCTTAGCATTTGTATCTTGGCAGTGCAGGTGTGAGCGTGGTACGTGTGCAAGACTTAGCTAACGTAGCCGAGGCTGAAGTACAGGGACTGATGGCTGTGGAGTTTGGGACTGCACCTTCTTGCCCTTGCCTTGGGGGATGCGCTGCCGCGTGGCCTCTGGTTGAATGGTCTGGGTCCTAAAACGCCAAGCAGTGACGGGTCTTGAGGGCAGCTGCAGGAATAGCGCTCGAGAGGCGCGAGCATTGCAGACTTCCAACGGCTGAAGGCAAGTGGCCGCTGGAAGTGTGCTCCTTATTCCGAGAGCGCTATTTTGCAGTGCCGTTGCTTGAGGAAAAGTAGGTGCTCCTTGTTTTTTGGTTATTTTTTATTACTCTCTTCATGTGTAAATCTTGCCTGATCTTCTTAAATGCTTTGTTCCCCTTCAGAGCAGCTTGTGATCTTGTGCAGTGAACAAACACCTCATTTTGTGTGTTGGGGGATGAGTGGGGAGAGCAAATTGTGGCTTCCAGGGGATTAGGTAGAGCAATCAGCCAAAGGACATCTTAACGCAGGTTTTTGCAAGGCTTGAGCGGAGTAGTGACCCTGTGCCCAGGAGACTAGCAGACAGTTGCATGGCTTTGCCAATTTGCTACTGACTTGTGCACTTTCTTTTGCAGTACAAGCCCACCACCAACAACAGTTGTAAGGCTGATCTGGAGTAACTGAAAGGCTGGATACCTTTTGTAGGCCAAAACCCTCCTTCTACTGCTTCTGCCAACTGGAAGCACAGAAAAACTAGAATTTCATTTATTTTGTTTAAAAAAAAAAAAAAAAAATTGATTTCTTGTAACATTCAGTAGGAATGCTAACAGTTCATCTTGCAGTGGGAGAGATGTGGACTGAGTAGAGGCATGTAGGAACTTGTGGGCTATTCCATAATTCCATGCACTGTATCAGAGTCCTGCAAGTGCCCCAGCTCTGCTTGCTGAAAACTGGAAGTTATTTATTTTTTAACGACCCTTCAAAGTTCTGAACTCATCAGCTAGCAAAGGAAGTAACAAGAGTGATTCTTGCTGCTATTATCACTAAAAATCAAGACTCGGAGATCCCTTTTACTTCTAACTAAACTTGAAACCGTTCAGTAAAAAAATTCTAATCATCAAACTGATGGATTATTATTTATAAATCACGTTTGATGAGGTGATCACTATCTCAAGACAGTGATGTAACTTTTAAGTTAAAAAAAAAAAAGACAAACCTTTGTAGATAATATAAAATAAAAACTTTAAAAAAAAATTAAAAAATAAAAAAAGTTTTAAAAACTGACCAACATGGCAAGCGTGTTCTCTTGAGGTATGTACGGCATCCTCCGTCTCCCGAGCGTTCGTCCCGTTCCCCGCCGGGTAAACTTGCTTTGGCTGTACAAAAATGAGCAGCATTTGACACCCCCGTGACGCGAGGTTTGGTGCAAGTGTGGTGTTCAGGGTATGCGTTTCAAGCTACTTGTCTGAACTGTAAGCGCATTCCAAGTATGATATTTGATCTCAACTGTTGTAGCCTTCCCGTCAAATGATACGACTCCCTCTGTGAGAAGCAGACCTAGCTGTTTCTGTAGGGCTCTAGAGATGACGTGAAGGCCAGTGGTGTTGGTATCGGTCGCTGTTGGTGGAAGCTACTTGCCAGACTGAGTAAAAGCTCCGGCATGAGGGACTGGGAGAACTGTTGCGCTTGACTTCCTTGCATTAACCCGTAGCAGTTTGCACTGACTGCGAAATACGCTGCGGTCTCTGCTGCTGTTCCTTGTTGAGCATGCTTTAAAATCTGCTGCCTAGAAGATGAGGATGGATTGGAAGAGGAAATGGGAGTCTCCTGCGCTCCAGCTGCATTGCCCCTGGCTGCACTGAAAAGGTGAGTGAAATACTAATCTGTCCGTGGAACGCGGCTGGCACAGAAGTGTAGGGCTTGGAGAGGAAAGCAGGCTAGCTTTGGTCTCTCAAGTCCGCTGTCTTGAGCGACCACAGTGCAAGGCTGATGTCACTTAGAGAAGCGGTTCTGGTTAGCAGCAGGGGGCACAGTATCATTAAAAATACAGAGGGTGCTTTGATCCACCCCAGTGAGTGAAACGCCTTGTGCCTGTGCTCCTTGAAGAGCAGGGGCCTGAGCAGATCGGCACGTTCAGGCAGGTTTGTTAAACCTTTGCTTCACTTGGAGAGCTATTCCATTTCTAACAGTTTGGGTGGGGGGCAGGGCTCTTCTAACAGCTGTTAATCCAATCGCTGGAAACACAAGAGCTGCTTCTGGAGAAGATCGGGTTAGAAGTAGGAATGTGAAGGGACGAGAGTGAAAAATTCTAAAAAGTTTAAGAGCAGGATTTTTTACATAGCAAAATGTGCATTATTCAAGAATAAGTTACTTGTACAGTACATACAGAAACAATATATAGAAAATCTGCTATACAAGAATAATTTTCTGTGTTGGTGAAAAGAAGAACTCTAAACAAATGCACCTCATTCCAACAGAACCCTTATTGGCCTTGATTTGCAGGTGGGTTACAAAGGCAGTGTGTAGACTGCACAATCGCCTCGTATACTTGTGGACTTTGGCTGCCTAAGCTTGTTGTATCATTACAGGGCATCTTAAGTTTGAAATCTAGAATACTGTATTAAAACCTGTCAGTCAAGATTGCAGCCTTGCATGCGTGTTAAAGTACAAATGTCGGGTGTAAAACTACAAGTGTTCTTGTTGCAAGGAACAGAAGAAAGATTATTACCTGAATACTTTGCTGAGGGAGCAGAGCTTTGAAACAAGTAAGTATCCTGCCACCTGGCTGCCTTTTAATTCTCTGGGGTTGGGTTGGCTTTGCTTCCCCTGAACCTGGACCCTTTCCTGGGAGCCATGCTGCAGAAGAGAGCCCTGAAGCAGAAGCATCTGTGGGGTGGGTAACCTGCTCTTAAATGCTGGCCCCATTCTACCAGGATGGGGGGAATTAAAGGGCTAGACCAGGATGGGTCCGCACGCACGCACGCGCGCGCGCGCGACATCATCCGCAGAGCCTGCCTGCTGTGAGGATGTGCGGGAGCTGCTGGAGAGCCAGTCTGCAAAGAGCAAGTCCTGTCCTGAGAATAAGGGGAGTTGACTTCAGTGAAGGCCTTATCGGACTCGGGCACAGGCCTGTATTCTGGCCATGTGCTGGCTGTTTCACAGGGTACTGGCTGAAATAGGCTCCTGTTTGTGGCAGTACAGCTAGATCCTCAAGGCACTAAGCACGGTCTTCACTGAGAGATGCATGCAACTAACTCGTAACCAGCTGGGGTGAAAGCAGGCCTTCTGCTAGCCCCATGCTGGTGCCTCCTGAGAGAGAAGGGCTTGGATGCGTCTCCTTCACGGCTCCATCTGCATTCACCCACAGCTGTTCCCAGGCAGCGTTGTGCTTTGGAGCCCCGGTTGGACTTAATGCTGGAAGCACCTTCCCCGGAGCCCAAAACTGCTCTCGGTTCTCGCTCAACTTCAGCCAAGCCAGGTGTCCATCCAGCCCTGTGCAACAGCGTTTACCTGGCTGTGGTCATCCGGGGGGCCAACATCACTGACTGGTGGCTAAGGGGAGGCCTGCCCGAGTTGCAAGGCTGTGAATGCATGAGGCAACCGTCCTGGATGCTTCAAAACCGGGACAAGCCCTTGCCCTGCACAGAATCACTTGTGTGCTTTATAGTGGAAAATGTTCATATTTAAGTGTCTCAAGGTGAACCACGGCTTATGTCCATCAAGATCTTTGTCCTCTCAAACACTTCTCTAAAGCCAGGAGCCCTCCCTCCTGAATGACCACGAAGCCAATAACTTTCCTCCCAAAAGTCACCAGTCACCAGCATTTCAATGGCTATAAGTTTTTATCCCTGATTTTTTTTTTTTTTTTTTTAATTTATGATCACGCTCTCTGGCTGACAGATGAATTCCTGAAGTGGACTCTGCACCTTGGCAGGTGGGCGAGGGGTGCTCACTGCACCAACAGCTTCACTTGCTGGGCCGCCAGGCTTCGTTTGGTCTCCAGGCTGGATGCTTCGGGCTTGAACCTCTTCAGATGCCATGCTGAGCAAGCGAGGGCAGTGGTGGTGGGGAGCATCTGGCAGCGGAAGGTGGGTGGAGTTCCTGTGTGCATGGCCTTCAAACACTGCAGGGATTTTCCAGGTTGACAGCATCCCTTTGAACTCTTACTCCCTTTCCGTTGGGGTCAAGCTAGTCCCTTTGCCATGGCCTGTTCGGGGCAGCTTGCCCCTGGTAAAGCAAACAAAGCTTTAATGCTCGACTTGGAAAGAGCCTGGGCGTGTCGGGTTTTGCTCCGCTGCAAGGACTCGATTCCAGCCGTGTGGACGGGCTGGATTTTCTGAAGTACCGAGGTGTAACCTCAGCCCAGGAATCGCTGCCAACTTCCGATGTAGTGAAATGCTCCTGAAGGCTCGCACGCTCTCCCGAACTGCTCCTTGGTGTGAATGTGGTCTGGAGCATGATGTGAAGGACAGGGTGCACTTCGGCCTGGCTGGGGAAACGGAGAACTGGTCCCTGTGATGCTGACTTGGGTTTGCTGCAGCTCTGCAGGCTCCTGTCAGGGCTGTCCTATCACTGGGCAGCAGCTCCCTGCATCCACTGCCCGTCCTTCCTGGCACTTGGGGGGCATTGAGTGGGGCAAGCAAATGCCTTTTGTTTTGCTTGAACAAAACCAGCACAGTGGAGAGAAGCTTGGAGGTTTGCAGTAGTGGCTTCAGGCTCCTGCTATATCTGCTTTCCCGGGGTGGGCTTTGCCTGGCAATCAATCCTAAACTGTTGCAGAGATGGTGGAAAATCACTGATCTAAATGGGCCTGCTCTTAGCACCCTGATTGGCACCGTTTTGGCGTGGGGGCTGTGCGTTTAGCGCGAGCGCACCACCTAGAAACCACTAACCGGAGCACTGTGTAGCTGTGCGCCAGCTCTCCTCCGCTCTTGCTCCCGGTTCACATTTCAAGTCAGCTAATTTCTACTGCTCCTTTTCCATGAGACCTGCTGTCACGCCGCCTCGCAGCGGGAGGCGTTGGCCTGACCGTGAACGGGAACAGGTTGGCTGTGCTTGTTGCAGAGCCTTCCAGCCTTGTGGGAGTGGCGATTTTTATTGCTTATAAACCTTAAGCAAGTACATGTAGCTGTGCCTCCATCCAGTGTCCAAAGCAGTATAAAGGCAAACGGGTGGGTACAATCACAGGTGTCTGACTAAGTGTAGAAATGCCAAACCCTAATCTTAGTCCAAGTAAGGCACAAAAATGTGAGCTTCTGTTAGCGCTCGGTAGTGCAAGATCTACAGGCGGGGACGAGTGGTGGCATCCGTCTGGGAGAAACCAGTAACGGAGCACCGTCTGCAGAGCTGGAAAGGCCTCAGGCGGCTGTTCAAGCAGGCTAAGCTGGGGAGCAAGCGAGCAGGGCGGCCAGCAAATCTGTGCTTTAAGAAACAGCTTGAGGTAAAACGTCTGGAAAATCTACTTGACTAGCTTTGTGCTTAAATTGCTCCCGGTCTTGGAGTGGAGCTTGACTACGAAGAGATGTCAGTCTCCATGCTCCACCCATCAGTTACATTATTTTTCTAGGAACAATAGGGGGAAGTTAGTGTTCACCTTTTTCATTAATGAATGGCTGGAACGATTTCTTCTGCCACAGTTGTAGCAGCGAGCGACTGCAGCTACTCGTTTGTTAATGTGTTAACAAGCTGTCAGCCCGTTTTCTCCACCTCCAGAACTGCAGAGCAAACCCTTTGCTAATGGGGTCTGTGCCTGGCCCAGGAGGAGAGAGGGAACCGGGTGATGTTATGCAACTGCAGCACATGCCTTGAGCAGCAGGAAGTGCCTCTGCCCTGCCTCTGCCTGGCCCAAATCAGCAATTTGTCTAAGCACTTTCAACCCTGTGGGTGTAACTCGGGCTTTCCTGAACTTGGCCACGTCAAAACTGGCCAGGAGACTGCAAGTGACTGAAATACTCGGTACTGATAACGGATCGGGGCCGTGAGCCTCGCGCTGCAGTGTCTGTAAACAGTAAGGAGGGAGAGCTGGTCTAAACAGGGCCCTTGAACAGGCCTAAGCCCAGTCCCTCTCCTTGCAACCATCCTGAACCAGAAGGAAAAGAACACCAGTTCTTCGCTCTCCTGTACAATTCCCCAAACATTTTGGCACAAGGTTTCAAATACTTTCTTTTGCAAAACGCCTCCGCCCGGCCACCCCCTCAGAGCGGCGTGTACTGGTTGTCGATGGCTCGCGTGTGCCCCCGGCCTGGGGAGTCCAGCTCGTAGTCAGAGGTCCGGGGCAGGCCGACGGGCACGGGGGCTGCCTCGCTGAGGCGCAGGCTCTGCGCCAGCTCTTCTGGAGGGGGCACCAGGTGGAAGATCTGCTCGGGCTGAGAGCTGGGGTGGAGGTGGTCGGTCACGTGCAGCCGCGGGCAGCTGGAGGAGCTGATGTGAGGCAGGCTGAGGTCGGTGCTCCAGCTGGGGATGGAGAAGGGGAGCAGGATGGTGCTGGCAGAGGCTGGGGCTGTGGAGGAAGCCAAGCTGGTGAAATGGCAGGTAGGGACCCTCGTGCCCTCCTGGAGCAGGTTCACCCTGCCAGGAGCAGCAGCTGCCAGCATCCTGCCTGCTTCTCCACTGCACTTTTTCCCCTGCTGGCTTTTATTTGGTGGGCAGGGGGCAGCCTGTCAGGCACAGGGCAGCAAGCCGTTCTCCCCAGCAGCTGCCTGCAGGAGCCAGCTACTTCTTGGCCCCTTCTGCGGCTGCTTCCCCAAGTGCAACGCAGGGGAGCCGAGCTGTAGGCTCCGGTTCGCTGGCTGGCTGGGGGTGCCCCCTACCAAGGCTTTTTCAGGCCGTGCAGCACTGAGTGGGAACATGCTGTTCTCAGTGAGCACCGGATGGGAACCGGGCACACGGCCCCTGCGGACCGCAGCAGGGGCAACTTCTCCTTTTCAGAGAGGAAGCCCGAGGCCCGAGAGTCGCCTGCTCCAGCTCTGGGTAGGCACTTCCTGTTGTGGCCCATAGGCCTGGGGCAAGTGCACCTGCCCCTGCACCTGCCTGTACCCAAAACTCCCCTGCCCCTTCCCAGAGCAGGCTGTGCAGGCAGGGCCCAGTCTGGTGGGTCCTAAAGCTACAGAGGAGGAGGTACGAGGCACTCCCCTCCACCCTATGCCAGGAGGGAGGGAGAGCACACACCTTCTACACCATCTCTCTGGCCTCCTTCCTGCCTTGCGCCCGCAGGGTCGCCGGGCTCAGCTCTGCCATCGGAGCTGCTGCAGGACGGCTTGTACGGTCCCTGAGACCCTGTACCTGAGCCCAGTCCTACTGAACCACTGCAGAGGCAGCACGGCCGGTTCTTGGGGCTTGCAACCCGGGTGGAAACAAAGGCAAGAGCCAGTTGCATGAGATGAGGGCTGGACTTGGAGATCTTGGGCTCTAGCCCCACTTGAGCTGCTGGGCAGGGATGCTCTGGCCTGTCACCTCTGTTCCCCAGAGCGGGGCACCCGTCTACCTGTGCCCTCCCGCATCCCTCCACCCTGCAGCAGTAAGTCTGCAGCCTCCCACCGTGCGCCAGCCTCCCTGTAACGCAGCCACCCAGGGCCGTGGGCTGGCCTGGAGCATAGGCCCAGGCCATTGGAGGTGCTGCACGGTGGCTTTCCACCTGGAAACACAGCCTGGATGGCAAAACTGTTTCCAAGCCTCCCCCATCCTTGGCAGGTGCGCGCGTGCGATTTGGAGAGGAACAGGACAATGCTGAGCTTGGGGCTTTTTTGTTCCAAGCCCCCCCTGCAGGCAGCAATCAGCAGGGGGAGAGGAGACTGCTGGGAGCAGATGGTCCCGTGGCCACAGGAAGCAGGGCTCAGAGCAGCCCGGTTTAGGGCTCATGTTATGGGTTTCCAGCCTCCACCTCCCCACAGCCGGGACCAGAGCCGCTGGGTGCGGAGGGGAGCGGGCCCTCTGCCTCCCCGATGGCGCTCTAACTGGGTCAGCTGCATGGCTCGTGAGTCACGGCTAGTGCTGGGAAGTTGCACGCCAGGCCCTCCCTAGGGCCTGGGCCCATCCTCAGTCGGGGAGCACCACTGCTGTCGGAGCAGCTGCCCCGCGGCTGGGGCCGTAGGTCAGTACTGCAGTTCCCCAGGCCTGGCCTTGGGGACACCAGTGCAAGGCTGAGGCCCGGTGGCCGGGGGACCCTGAGAGTTTGTCATTCTCTTCCTCACGAGTCTCTTGCAGCCGGGAGTGGCACTGCCTTCCTGCAGAGCTCCACGCTGGAGGCCACGGAGGGAGCTGCCTTCGCCCTGCTCCGACTTACGGCAGCAAAGGCCTGGAGGCAGGGGCTGGCCCTCCCCGCACTCCCATGCCTTTGCTGGCTGCTGGCCTTGGCCCTGCTGGCTCTCGGCAGCCGCACTGACACAACGCTACGCTACGGCGCAAGGCCTGCCGATGCCTTTGAGGGCAATTCCTGCCTGCTGCTCAGCGCCTGCCCCATGGGAACATCCCCCGGTCCCGGCCGCAGTCCCCAGGCCCCCTGTACCTTGGGAGAAAGGGACGTAGCTGGAGAGCTTGACGTTGCAGGCAGCGCCGGACTCCAGGGGGATGGGATAGCGCTGGAAGTGGGCAAGCATGTCCCCGATGGAGGTGAAGTGGAGGTGCTGCACGCGGCACTGTCCTCGCTCAGTCAATGAGAGGCGCAGGTGCTGTCAGGGGAGGGAGGGCACCGTTAGCGTCTCGCTTGGAGCTGGCGGGGCAATGGGCCCTGCCCTGATGGGAAAGCCCTGCCTGGGCCCCTGCAGCGCTGAGGGGCTTTGTGCTAGCCCCTAGGGACCCCGTGTAATCAGAACAGGGCTGCCTCCATCCCCAAGGGCTGCTCTGTATATCACAGCCTCAGCCCCATTTCGGAGCCCTCCGGGGCAGTCCCTGCAGTGGCCGTGACCCGGGGAGGCCCAGCAGGTGCCTGGCTCTGCTTCCTTGGGCGCTGGAAGCAGCAGAGGCACCGCCGGAGCCCACCAGCCGGCTCCCCATGTGGAAACGGGGGCCGTGGGGTAAAAAAATCCCCTTTCTGCTAGGGCACGAGGCAAGGGGGCACGTGTGCTCCCTGCCGCAGGGTGCCCGAGGGGGAACGGACCCAGCCGGCGGTCCGAGCTGCACCTGAGGCCAGCTGGGCCATGCTTTGCTCCTCTCGTCCAGCTCGGGGAGCAAGCTCAGGCCAAAGAGGGGACCCCCACATGCCCCTGGGCCCAGACTGTACCTTCGCTCTTCCCTGAAAGTTGAAGGTGAGGACGTATTCCCCCCTGCGGGTTTCGCTCTGTCGAACGAGGAAAACCCCGTGGCCTTCCGGCCCCTGCAGCTGAACGAGGTGGGCAGCCTTGACGCGAGAGATGGGCCCGTGGAACCAGGGGTAGGACGACAGGAAATGGTCGGTTTTCTGGCAGGGCGGCTCGGGGGGCGCACAGGGCACGGCCCCTGGAGGGAGGAGAGAGGGAGACGTGTCAGGACCCGTGGGGCTGTGGGGAGGGGGGGGAAACGTGTGTGCGAGCTCTGTAGCAGCCACGAAGGACGATGAGGCCGCTTCTCCGCCATCCCCGGCTCCTCAGCTGCCGCGCGGCACGTCTGCGGGAAGGGGAGCCGGCCATGAGCGGCGCGCACCAGACTCTTCCCCACGCCTCGCGTGCGTGGCTTTGCTGAGCCCGGCCACGCTCTTTAACCCAGTCACCAGCCACTTCTGCTTTGGAGCCGTGTGCTGCGGGGCCCGGGCGCTGCGTGAGACTGAAACCAAGCGCAAAGGCTATCAGTAACAGCCTGGTTTCCTGGCGACGCAACCTGAGGCCAGGTCAGCCCAGTTCCTCTTTACAGGAAAGGGCAGGCCGGGGACTGATTTCTTGGCAACAGAAAGCAAGAGGCAACCTGGAGCCTTCCCCCGATGCAGCCCTGCCCAGGTTCCTGGAGGCCAGCCTTGATAGCGATAGCGTGTGATGGCAGGACCAGCGCCCTCATGGTGCCTGGCCCCAGGGCTTCCCGCTGGGCGTCAGCACAAGCTCCCTGCAGGTACCCGTCCTTCGGTCGCTCAGCACAGCCTCCACCCTGTTGCAGCTCTGCCTGGGTGACGTCTGCCCTGATGGTCTAGTGCACGTGGGGCCTGCCCTGTGCTGCCCGGTGCTCCCCAGCATCTGCAGGCCACTGCCCCGTGTGCACCCGGCCTGGCCCTCACCGCGCACGCTCTGCTCCCCACCCGGGCGCTCTCACCAGCATGCCATTTGCACGCTTGCTTTGCTGTCCGGACGCTAGCTTTGGAGGCTGCCCGGCCCTGGACCCGCGTGCTGGGCAACCTTGCCCTACCTATTGCAAGCCTGTTGCCCCTTCCGGGCCCGGGCCCCCATCTGCTGTCCCTACAAGCACCTCGGAGCAGGGCCCGTCTCTTGTGAGTGGTCTGCACCGCCCCTGCCACGAGGGAGCCGTGGCTTTGTCTCCTCCTGTTATCACCCCCTGCACCCGCAACACCGGACGGAGCCCAGCCTTAGAGAGAGGGCACTTCTCAAGGAGGCCAGGAGACGAGTGCAGTGCAGGCCCCCTCGCGCCCAGCGTGGGTAGGCTGGTGGCTGGGCCTTGCAGCCTGTCTGGGGAGAGGCCACAGAGCCACGTCTGCCCTTTGGCACGGCCGGCCTGTTCCCCAGCTCCATCACCCTTGGGCTTGGGGCTCCTATGAGGAGCGCGCCCTCCCCTGGCTGCCAGGCCGGTGAGACTGGCCCCCCGCAAAGTGCTCCCTCAGAGCGAGCAGGCGCGGGGAAAACGGAGCACAGCGCGATCTCCTGCCTCATCCTCAAGGCCGTCCCTCCCTTCCTCCTCTGGGCCGAGCAGAGCCGTGGTGCCGCGCGGGGCGCTCACCTTGGTTAAGGGAGTCGGTGCTGCTGGTCGCGGGGCTGGACGCCAGGGCATCGGGGTGCTGGCCCGGGAGCGGCTCTACATCAGCTGCGTCTGACCTACGGGGAGGAATCGGGGAGCGCCGTCACTGCTGCGCCCGCGCAGAGCCGGCTGCAACATGGCAGGGGCAAGCACCCTCCATGCCCAGGGGCAACACCGAGGGAAGGGGGACGTGCTGGGGTTGCCGGAGCTGGTGAGGAGGAGGAACACCAGGAGCCTCCATGGGCATCCCGGTTCCCCATCAATCCCAGCTCTTCGGGCACAGGGCTCCGGGACCCAGCCAGGGACACCCTCTGGATCCAGGCTGCTGGGCCAGGGGCCTTCCAGCCTCAACCCTGCCCTGCAAGAGGCCACAAGCCCGGCTGGACGCCCCGTCTGTGAGCTTACGGCCACGGCCGTGCAGGCCAGGGAGGGGCTCGGGGCAGGCAACCCTGTCCTGTGCCAAGTGGGGGAAGTGGGGGAACATCTGCACAGCCCCAAGCCGAGCTGCGTTAGCCTCTCAGGAGCCCTGGACAGAAGCAGCTCCGAATTCATGGAAGTGGGGGAGCCCGGTCGGGGCAGCGGGAGCAGAGGGAATCACACTGGGGCCTGGGGAGGACATGCTGCTGGGGATTTCGATTGCAGGAAAAGCTGGCGATAGCTGAAGCCTGCGGGCCGGCTGGGCCTGCCTGTGCTCCCTCCCCGGGGCCTGGTCCGTGGCCCCACTCGAGCGGGCTGGATGCCTCCTTCCCCGTTCTCCGGAGGGTAGCGACAGCCTGGCCCCTGGCTTCCCTGCTTGTGGGAACAGGGCCAGGCTGCCTCCGTGCTGGGAAACGGGGGGTGTCTGCCCCAAGCAACCGGTGGGGACGTGGAGGCCTGGGAACCAAGAGCTGGCGCCCCGAAGCCCTCGTGCCGTGGCCTGGGCACGCCCACAGCTCTTCCCGGGCACGTGCTGTGCTGCAGAGGGGTGGCCTGCCACGGGCACTGGGCCAAGGCTGGGATCACGGCCACGGTGGGTGCGTGGTTAGCGGCGAGCGGACTTTGCCGACGCGGGGGCCAGGCCGCGGCTGGCGCAGCCCCGGCTCCTCCTTACCCTCGGCTCAGGCAGTCTTTGATTTCTGCTGTCCAGGAAACCAGCTGCTGCTCGTCGCCGGCCTCAAAGATCACGTCCGTGGCATTGCTCACCTGGGCAGGGGAGAAGGGGAGAGGTTGACGGCCACCACGGCAGCCGCCCTGCCCAGCCCGCGCCGCCAGGGCCCGCTGCGGAGGAGGGGGTTTCCGTGGAGCTTCTGAGAACCGGCCGCAGTCTCGCTTCCCTCTGCGCCTCTCCCCGGCCCCAGGGAG